AGCCTATTTCATTCTGAACAAAAAATGCTCAAAATAAACCAGTTCGGAGCAAAAAATTATTTTACGAACAGCTACAGAGATACATCGTCATAAATGCGAACTGGATTTATTGTTATTTTGTAGTTAGTACCTGCATTAAACGATTAAAAGGTAATAACAAAACTAATTCATTAATAACAAAACACACAACATGTAGAAATTATAGTAAATGTATAATATATCTACCTTCAGATATAACGCATGCGTCTAGACGTCGACGCATTGAGCCACGTATTCGCTCAAATATTCCTGGAGTCTCTCTGATTACCCTGTACGATACACCAAATGGTGTAAATGGCCCCAAATAGAGATATCGAGAGGATTGAGATCCGGGGATCGAGCTGGCCAGTTCTGTGGTCCTCGACCTATCCACTGATTTGCATATGTTTCAGTTAAATGCTTGCNATGTACCCCCTTTAAGGAGCTGTATCTTAACAAGGGATGCTCCAATGAAATTTCTTTATATGAAAGTTCCTTTTTTTTCGATGAGGAATCACCTCCTTAAATGTTTTACACTTATTCAGTTACACCCTGTACATACCGTTGAATATTTGTGAAATACTGCCTGTTATCTAAATGTTCAAATTAACAAAAAATACCAAAATGAAAGTGTCAATAAATTGTAGTTTTATATTATAATCATTGTTTTCAATTTTCAAATCATTTTCAATACAGTCTTGATGAACTTTAGCATTTTTTCCCAATACCTCATCAATTTATTATCCAACTGAATCTTTTTCAGGTGTTTTTTTATTTTTCATCCAACCCTCCATCATCATCACAGCCCGTATCATCCTTCATAAACTTCGACTTCTGCATCTTCATTCGAAGTTCCAATTATGATGCCCAATAAGCTGAAACATTTGTCTATCGAAATTAATTTCAGCTTTTCATATACAGGAAGGTAATTGCGACGAATTCTCCAAATGGAAGACGTCACACAAGTACTCATTGTTTTACTTCAGCTTTCTGCATAGCATTAACTGGGTTAGTTCTTGTTTTTCCATCTGATATCTGCCACACGTACCTATAAAGTCGTAGGTGAGGTGTTTTCAACTGTACTTGAGCATATTATATGTACCTCTCCGGAATATGTCTATCATTCTGACTCCTATCCCGGAGTATGTGTTTGTGAAGTAGCTTCCGGACTTTGTCTGCAGGTGGCACAGTGGTACATCCCACTGAATCAACTGCAGATAGAGCTCATGACTAGTTGAAATTAATTTTGTTTGTTCAGGATATTCAGAAGGTTCACTTCGTCTGAAATGAGACTCCCGGTACTGACGAAGAACTAGTACTCCGACATCGGTCTATCGATGGTCGTCCTGACCGAATGATATGAATTTCAGCTTTTCATATGTAGGAAGTTATTTGCGAAATATCGTTCAAATGGAATACGTTGCACAGATGCCTGATGGTTTCAATTCAGCTTTCTGCGCGGCATTAGCTGGATTGGTTGTTGTTTTTCAATCAGGTATCTGCCACACTTACCTACAAAGTGGTAGGTTCATAAGACTCTTCTTCATAATTGTCATGTGACAAATGTCTATCAGATGATGTTACTTTCTCAAGGCCAAGTTCTGGTAGAAGCACTTGCTTCAATTCACACCTATGTGGGTTTTCGAGCTGTGAAGAGGAACAAATACAATTGTTACATTTTTATTATCTTCAGAATAACATATTATTCTTCAATTATGGATTTTGCGCTCTATAAAGAACTAAACCCTTCAAGACCACTCACCACCTGGGGTAAGAAAACTTCTAAGTTCCATTATCATTATAATATCACCAATATTACTACCCATTGTCATATTATTTCAGGCCTTCTTGTTCCTGCCTCATTATTGCCATCAACGCCCTACGTAGTAAGTCTGCCTGCTTTCGTTGAGCTTCTTCGATGTGCATGAACACCCCCCAACTAATCTAAAATAGGGACGTACGTAACGCAGTCCTTGAACTAGATTTCTACCTACCTCAGTCTGCATGAATCGATTCATAGTCAAAGGTCAGAGCAAGTGCCCTGAATGTGACACCAACCAAGATAAGTAGGATCTTTCCTTGTTTCTGCTTGGCGCTTATACCTGCTTGCTATACTGGCTTTCTGCATTCATTTACTCAAGGCATTTTGGGTCCAGCTATCCATAGAAGCACCGTAGATTTATGAAGACTTACTAGATGTAAACCTCAAGTATGCTTCGGGTACCCACTTGAATTGACAATCTGATATATGCTTGAGACTGCTAGAGACTGTGAAGTAATCCTCGGTAGTATAAGATATCATTTCCTGTGAAGTTCAAGGTTGTTTGACCCAGCACCCCTATTTGACTTTAGTGTACAAAAAGCACTAGCTAGCTCCTGAACTCTCCTCTAATTTACATCGCAGGGCTGGATACCGTTAAGATGAAATACGCAGCGAATCTTAAAAGAATCAACGTACCTGCAAAGTAGGTTTTGCTATATGAATGGCTGCCAAAAAATAACTTCTTTCCTAACATAACGATGTATAACGATGAGATTGGAACCTTTGGTATGAAAGTTGAATAACTTTTTTCGAGATCAATTGCCCTAACACCAAACTGATATGTTTGCACTCGACGCACGTTTCGCCAACAAAGTTAGCATCCTCAGGAGAAGAAAATTGATACCTAGTCTAGTCTGGTTAATTCTTATATACCAAAATTTGTAACTTGAGGTTGTATATCTGAAGTCCAATATGGAATTTCTCGGTAATTAACTACCTGCAAGTTCTTATTAATTATTCTCTTCCTAACAGAAGATTAAAAAGCGGGCTAAACGGAATGGGTTCCTTATCGCCATTCATGCTGTTCTTACATTTTGCTATTTGTAGAGTCTCACATGCATCGAGTAGCCTGGTGTCATGCACATGCCTAATCAGTTTTAGATTGTTTTCACCAATTATGTGGTCCTTGTCTAGAACATGTTGGGCGACACTGGATTTTTCTATCCTTCTGTATTTCATGTGTGCACAATGCTCCTTGAAGCGGGTTTTAATCACTCGTCGGCTCTGGCCGATGTATTTGCTGTTGCAATCTTGACAACTGATTTCGTAAATCCCCGACCTTTCTGTGTTTTCTAGTCTATCTTTTGGATTACCAAGAAGCTGTTGCAATTTATAAGAAGTTTCATATGCAACTTTTATATTTACTTTATCGAATATATGTTAAAGCCCTCTCGTGTATTGGGGTTCATATGGGATTATTATAAACTTGTTATTACTTTCCTCTTTTTGAAAAGTCAAAGATTTACGAGGTGCTTCCCTAAACTTGCATTTTCTAATTATCTTGTCAATTATACCTCTGGGTTAAAACTGTTTGCTTCAGCTACATACCGAATCACTCTCTTTTCATTTTCGTACTTATCTTTCCTTAAAGGAAAAATTAACCTGTGTACCAGAAATTGCAGTGCCGCCATTTTGTGTTGTCGACAATGATTCGAGTCATTGGGAATGTATCTGAAAGTGCCCGTGTCTTTCCTGTAAATGTGAAATTCTATTTCATTCTGTTCGTTCCTTATGACCAATACATCTAAAAACGGCAACTTTCGTTCTTTTTCTACTTCATATGTGAATTCTATACTTTTACACCTGTTGTTTAGTGCTGAAAGGACATTCTCAATTCTGGTTATCCTTGTATCCACTACAGCGAATTTGTCATCAACATACCTGATCCAGACCCTAGGGAAGTAACTGAGTTCTTTCCCAGCTTCCGTCTCAAACCTACTCCTGAATAGGTTCGCTATAAATGGAGACAATATAAGGATTAACCAGACTAGAGTAGGTATCAATTTTCTTCTCCTGAGGATGCTAACTTTGTTGGCGAAACGCGCGTCGAGTGCAAAAATATCAGTTTGGTGTTAGGGCAATTGATCTCGAAAAAAGTTATTCAACTTCTTTCCTGGCTAATAGTACGCTGAACATTGAATTATATCCGCCACACATTCATGCATCTGCAAGACTATCCTCTATGAGGTGTTTAGCATGAATATTTGTCTAATTTAATTCAATGTCCAGCGTGGTATTAGCCAGATAGTTAGTTGTTTTCCGGCAGGCATTCACCAAAATCTAGTGTGCAGGTACATTAGAAGTGATGTTTTGAGATTTCATTTCAAAATAATAATTTTATTTCGAAATTTTGTAAAAAGTCAGAGAAGTACGATGTATTTATTTAATTTTCCAAAACAGCATACATTTTTACAGCATATTTCGTATCAATATTCGTGAATTCACAATATTATGTGTCTCTAATAACAGAAATATTCAAGATACCAAAGTTACAGGACATTATGGTGTTTTAAAGTAGGGGAGGCCACGATGTCAAATGGGAATTTACTCAAGCGTCGTGACAAGGATTTTGCAGATTAGATGGTAGAAATAAAAAAAGGGTTGTATTATGTATATCTCTCCACCGTTGAAGAAAAGCATCTACAGGATTTAAAAAATGGAAAAAAGATGGGATTGCATAATGGGGGCGCATCTGATATTCAAAGGGGACGTTAGGTGTACCCGAAAAAACATTCAATAGAATGATAATTCGGATGTGACATCAGCTTGTGGCGATTTTGTGAAACACAATTTTGTTTCAAGGGGTATATTTATAGGGGAGATTAATTTTTGGGAAAAAAAGGTTTCGGTTTTTTTTGCCATTTTGTAATCGCAAGCGTTTGAATTCATCGACAATTTTTGCTACTACGGCATGCCGAAGATATTGTAACGTCAGGGGCGGCTGCCCCTAACCGATACGCCAGCTGACTCATCGAACAAACACATGACATCACCGCGAAAGAATGCAGTCTGAAACCGCTGGTAAAATTCTAGTCGAGTACCTTTACCGATAAAAGCCCGTCTTCCCGACCCAAGAGGGCATTTCAGAAAGTGAATCGAGCGGCTGAACAAGAAATTCAAATAGTGGAAATAAATTAAGCGTTAGTTGCTAAGTGTGTGATAAATAAATTAGTTTGTGGTAATTGAAATATTGTTGGAAATAAATTTGTTCAAGACAGTTAATTCAGTAATTTACTACAATATAAACCTCGATGGTGAATTACATGTAAAATAAATTTCTCCAAAATGGAGAAAGTTCAACTCGGCTCGAGTTTGTGATATTTCATTTTTTTGACTCACGCTCCAATCGTCTGATTTTTGAAATACTCACTTTTCAGCTCGTGAATAATCAATCATGACCTAATCTGATGCGCTCGACTGATCAAGACAATTATTGCTTTTCAATTTTGACCGGCTGACATAAACGCTAGGCCCTGTATAATATACTGAAAAGGGTGCAAGATATCTTCTATATCCTAATCTGCCACACTTGAGTAAATTCACAAAAAACTTCATTAGGCTCCCATACTATTAGGCTCCATTTGAATGTATTCGGACTAATCATTCCATTGCTCCTATTTCTTTTTCTCTCCATTCAATTCTTTCATCGGTATCATCAGTTTTTGTAGATCGGATAGTGGCATTTCAACTGAGAGTGTCATGATAAATCCTGCAGCAAAAGCTGTGGCGACATCTCCAAACAAATAATAGACCTGAAAATAAATATTATAATCAGCTAACTAGTTTAGTGATCCAATAATTTTTTCTGAAAGAAGGTTGGTTGGGTAACAGAATCAATTTTTCTTAAAAAAAACCTCTGTAGCAGAGAGTTAAACAGTGGTAACTCCACTTTTAAACAAAATTGAGTTAATACCTGTTCCAGACTTCTCTCTTTTAACTTGTTATTGTGGTAAAAAATCGTAAGTCACGTTATGTTGGTTGCATAAATTTTTAGATTTGAAATTGTAGTATCTCCATAATTGAATAGGGTAAACAAACTTATCTCCTTCGACACCCCACAGCGCCTATGAGCGAAACCTATAAGGCGCCTCTTTTTTTCACGAATCTTCATGTTTCAACTTATGTTTTTTATTATCTGTTAATTTTGACCGTGTGGACCCTTAACTTGACTATTTTTGATTCAACAAATAATTTGTCCTATTGCATGGTATATGGGATGAATCAGAAGCTGGGAGAGGGAGCAATGATATCGCATCTGCATTATTTGAATGGGCTGAAAGTGTTATTGATCATGTTCACGCGCTAATTGAAAGATCTTTACGGAAGCAACCAACTATGGAAATATGTACACCTTGGGACTGGCAACAATTATTAAGGTCAACAGTTGCAACTGTCATAAAACTAGAGCTTTCTGATTTCAAACATGTAGACTACTTGTACAATCAACTAAAATCCCCTTTTATTAATAAGAAGAGAAATACTGAAAAAAAAAAAATCTGATAACACATGATGTTAATTTCCAAGTTAAAGCTGATCTTCCTAGCACTATATTTTACAAAGTAAATTACGAGGATGAAGAATTTGAAACACAAAACGTCATGAGTTCTATTCGAAATCCAATACAATTGCCGGATGAATTACCTAGTCTTCGCAATAATTTAAAAGGAATAACAAAGAAAAAGCATGATTATTTAATAAAAAGTTTGGAATGGGTCCCTAAACAATTTCATTCCGATTTGCAAAAAGAAAGATGAAGTTAGTTCTGATGAGGAGGATTCTCTATAAATTTTCTTCAATACAATTCCTAATTTTTTCATTTTTTGAAAATAACATATTCTTGCAAAATGTTTCACTTATTAATAATGTTACTGATATAAAATAAAACTAGTTTTGCATTATAAGAGGTCAGTTTTTATATTCACCTGTGTTTTCAAACAGAGGTAAAAAGTCGTAAGTTCAAAAGTAGATTCCAGGTAAATATTATTGAATTAATGATAAAAGTTTTCAAAAAGGTCCATCAATTTAATTGATATACCATAAGAACACCGTCACACATTGTGAAAAAAGTATTCTAAAGTTAAAATGATTTGTCATTTGCAGTTGTTTTCTCCATTATTCAATATTTTCATTTATGGACATACAATCTTTCACCTCTCTGCTACAGTCTCTGCTACGTCTCGCCGACGTTTCCAATTTAATTAAATTCATTTTCAGGACTCGAATAGGAGTTTCTTCATGTTGATAATATTACTGTTTTAAAAACCATCAGACATATTAGATACATATTTAAAAAAATAAAAAACATTGCAACAACCAAATTGCCGAGACAACACCAACACAATGTTTCATGTCGTTTTGTGTTGGTGTTATCTCAGAAATTTGGTTGTTGCAATGTTTCTTTTTTTTTTTAAATATGTATCATGGTTTTTGAAACAGAAAGATCATTAACACGAGCCCTGAAGAAGAATTTAATTAAATTCGAAACGAAATGAAACTTTTTTTTTTAGAAAAAATTGATCCTGTTACCCAACGTTGGATTCTTTCACGATTCACTATTACACTCAACACTTTTTTGTGAAAATGGTCAAAGCGGATTGACCAAAACCACCACTTCTGTTATGTGTGTTCTATGCATCAGTTACAGCTCATAGATCGTTCTATGAAACTTGACAGAGAAGCAACAATGAGAAATGACGAATGAGATGAGCAGAAAATGAAAAACCAACGCTTTCACGGAGTTCCTATAAATTTTATACCATGCGATTTTGTTTCAGCAAATCAATTTGTTACGTCGAAGTGCCTCAGACCCATTACTATTCATTTTTGATGAAATGAACGATCCAAAGAGATTGACCAAACCACCTCTTCTGCTCTATTTTTCCGTTAACCAGCTGTCGTTCCCTAAAAACGTTGGAAAAAAGGTGACTAGTACAATACCAGTACAATGTTCAAAGACAATTTACGGAGACATTTGCCTTTCAACGGTTATGCAAGTAAAACTGAAAATGAAGTTTCTGGTTTTCAGGAAAAAAAATGTTATTTGAGGAAATATAAAAAATGGCACCGCCAGTACCCTGCATGTACCCTATGTACCCTGCATTTTAAATTTGTTATATCTTCGAAAATACCCATTTGAACTACACGCTGTAAAGGGTTATATTGATCTATATTGAATGCACAATGTATTAAAGGTACATAATTTGATAAGAATTAATGCTGTATTGCTTAAAATCGCTTCATGCATAAGTCATTTTATTTCTCGAGAATAAAAAATGATTACCCTCCATCCCTTACCCTTATCCCTTCATTTGTATAGCGTCCCAATTGAAATAAATAGCATAATCAGTGACAACAATCAAACAGAAAAACAATTTCTTTCATAATGAATATTTTGGGGCAAATATAACCAATACAGAAAATGAATTTCAAACGACAAACTACATTAAATGCTTGAATTGACAACCTCTGTCGGTTCCTACAATTTCTGTGGATTGATGAAAAAAATCTGTGGCAATTTTCCACCATGGTGTGTATAATGCTATATGCATGTTTTATTTTCATTCGATATGGTCGATACCTGTAATAGGTGTCAAAAAAACTTTACCCTTTATATATCCCCAGACATATAAAATCTAAAGTAGTGAGGTCGGGGTTCGAGCTGGCCAGGCAATTGGTTCATTGTTTCCAAATCATTTTGTTGGGAATATTGCATCTGAATGTTTCGTTAATACTATTGCTCTATTATGGGGAGGGACAGTGATAATTCATCTAAGTAGCCATCAAACTCATTGGATGGAAAATATAGATACATTTCACCATTCAAATGCTCCTCGTGAAAGAAAGGACCAGTGTGTTCGTTTCCAAAATTCCTAACCAAAAATTCATCCTGAACCTTTTCTGGAAATTGGTTTCTCTTTGTGAAAATTCATTTGTATAGGGTTATCATTGAGCGCTTCCTATCTTTAAATTTAAATGAAACAAAGTGTATGTGAGATATTATCGAATTATTTCATACGTTTAAAAGACCTAATGTTGCAAATATGTGTGTGAAATAAAACATCGTTCACGGCTTCTTCAGGTGGGGCGCATACGAAACGTTCGATTTTCCACGAATCTGGCGCATAAATCAAACTGAATTTGACTGATGGCAAGGGTTATGTTGGCTTTGAGGACCGCTCTGGTATGTGGCTCATTGGCATACACCTGCGACTGAAGAAAACCTCAGAAGGAAAAGTCTAACGGGGTCAAATCGCACAATCTCGGTGGCTAGTTCACATCCAATGTGGCATGAGCTGTGTGGCACGTAGCGCCATCTTGTTGAGAACACATGTCGTTGGTGTCCAGATCATCCATTTCTGACCAGAAAAAGTTGGTAATCATCGACCTATATTTTTTGTCGTAATGTCCTGGTCAACTTCGTTCTTAAACAAATATGAACAACGACGTCTTCAGAGCAAAATCTACACCAAACAGTGACTTTTTCGGTATGCATTGGACGCTCTTAGGTCTCATGTGGTTTGGAATCGTCTAAAATTCGACAGTTTTTTTTTGTTCAAGTGCCCATTTATCCAGAAACGGGCATCATCGCTGAAAATTTATTTTCGATGAAAATTAGGATCAGTTGCCAACTGCTTCAGAGCCCATTCAGTGAGAACACGTCGTTATCTATGGTTGTTTATCTACAGTTTCTGGATAAATTGAATTTTTTGCGGATGTAGGCCCAAATCACGACATTAAATCCGCCAAGTTGTGATCTGCGAGAGGCCAAGTTCTTGTGAGCAACGCGAAATCGACTGCCTCGGATTCTCCTACACACTCTCACAGACTGCGGCCATGTTTTCGGTGGATCTTGCATTTCGTCGACGTACGAGTATTGATCGCTCGTTCATTAAACTAGTAAACTCGAATTTATCCACCACATCCATGAATAGTCCTCTCAGTAGGACGATTATGACAACCGTAAAATGGGCGAAGAGTGGTACTTTGCACGAACAGAACACCCATTTTGACAAAAAATTTCAACATTTGCACGTGTTGTTGAATACTCTATCCGTCCATAGTGCTTTGGAAAAACAGTCTGAATAAATGACAACTAATTTGATAGATGAAGCTTCAACAAGATGGCCGCTATCAATTGTCAATGTTCAGAAGTCCTTGTTGAAACACCCTATATTATTCCACCTGTAATGGATGTTTCTACATTTTGTAAAATTGTTGATACAGGGAGCTTTTTTCGGTTTATGATTCATGTTCCGTCCATTTTCCATTTTGTGCTTTTCGATAGCGATCTCGCGGGAAAACATCTCTATTTTGTTGGCAACACTGTTCCAAAGTCATGTTTGAGTCCATTTTGTATACGGAATGAAAAAACACTTTGAAGTGAGATTTTCACGTTTCAAGTGGAAATCTCACATTGAAATGTTTTTATGAAAACACGTTTCAATGGATTTCCATCAAATATCGGTCAATATTGCTGGAGTTTTTTCCCAACACCAAATCGTTATTTTTAACACCTCGACACGTGTTTTGATCACCAAGTGATCATCTTCAAAGAGGAAGATTAAAACTAGAAACTAATGCGAGCTATCCCTATTTATGCTATATAGGTATCTCATACAGGTAAACCCTCCAGGCGTAGCATCCATACAGGTATACCAACCTAAATTAATTTTACAATTTTGCCTTATCTATTATTTTACAATATATGTTTCTATAAAACAATTTTCAGCTATATAAAAATTAATTTCACAATACTGCCTATCCAATTTTATTTTTGCAATGTGTCCTTATGTAGTAATCAGTAAACCCAACAACATTATTTTATTTCAACCAGCTATATAGTATGCTCTTTGGTATAGGTCCGTCATCGTTATTCACAATATTATTGTGGCATCTGACAAGTTAACAACAACAGGCATCTAGTTGCCTGTTGTTGTTAACTTGTCTAACTAATCTTAATGAACTCTATGAAGTCAGTGGAATTGTTTTGTTGCTAAATATGATGGGCGACTGCTGATTTTTTAAGTCTTCCATATTTTAAGTGTGCTATGTGTTCCTTATATCTTACTTTAATAGATCTTTTTGTCTGTCCATAATATTTTGCATCGCAATCCTTACTTTCAATTTCGTAAATTCCAGACTTTTCCGAATTCTCGATTTTGTCTTTTGGACTTCACAAAAGGCTCTGTAGTGTATGAGTTGTTTTAGAATAGCTGAAAATTGTTTTATATAAACGTATAATGTAAAATAATAGATAAGCCAAAATTGTAAAATTAATTTAGGTTGGTATACCTGTATGGGTGGTACGCCTGGATGATTTACCTATATAGCTAGCTCGCATTAGTTTCTATAGTCTATTTCAAAAGAGTGTAGAGTAATAAAATCTCATTAGGTATTCCAAAGCGCTACAGGGTGATCCGTCAATAAATTCTGTCACTTCCCTAGTCCGCATTGCAAAATTATGTCGTTTCATAAAGAGCAGGTAGGTATCACCCTGTTTTAAGGGATTTGTCCATTGTTATCGACGGATAAATACTGAGCCAGAGGCGCGCTAGTGGGATAATTGCCAAAAGAATATGCATTCATAAAAATTATATTAAAGGAAATAAAAATTTAATACAGCAGAACAGTGTTATTAAAAAAATATAAAATGTAACAATAAAATATATACGAACCGAAATCGGGAAATACTCACAAACACACACGAACGAACTTTACGTATTGAAACACTTGTGGGGACTTTAAATCAATTTATTCACAAAAACGACAAGAACTTTACTGGATACGTTATTACAATTTGACACTTGAACAATACTAAAACTGTGAACTTCCCTTAACGTTTAACAACACTCTATTTATACCCTAATTGAATGTTCTAGAGATTACTAGGTACAATTTTCGAGAACCTTCCGAGAAAATAATTATTCAGACTACTCTTAATTCTAAACCCTAACCTAAGCAAAAGTGTCACTGTCACTGATACACTGGTCTCTGTCCAGATTGCTTATCCCGCTACAGTATATTTACAATTCAATTAAATTATTCTACATCAGTATAGTCTTCATCCGAAGAACTGTCATCATCCCCTGGTGTTATAATTATAGGGTCAACCACCTGATCGACCAAGTTGTCCAGTTCCCACATTTTATCTTCCTCTTTTAAAACATGCTGGATTGCTTTTTGCCAGTTTTCTGATGTGATTTCCATAATGGCTTGATCAAACAATACCTTGACATCTTTCATTTTAAATGTGGTATTGTGCCTTGCAACATATCCTTTAACTTGTGCCCATATAAGTTCTATAGGATTTAATTCGCAATGATATGGCGGTAGGCGCAGCACAGTTACTTTATACTTTTCTGCTACATCTTCTACGGCATATTTCATGAAGCGAGATTTATGTTGTTTTACTATGGCTAGTAGTTCCTTCTTTACTGAATTCGTCTCAAACTGAATACCTTTATTTGACAGCCAGTTAATAATTTCTTGCTTTCTCCAAGCTGAAGTTGGTACCTTCTCTAAGCGCCTTGAATGGTAGCTTGCATTATCCATAACCACGACCGAATCAGCTGAAAGAAATTTTAACATTTCCCCGAAGTAGTCTTCGAAGACATCCGAATTCATGTCCTCATGATAATCTCCCGTCCGGCACGACTCAAAGCTTAACAAACCTTCTTTTAAAAATCCGTCTTCGCTTCCAATGTGAGCAATTATAAGCCTCTTCCCTTTTCCCGAAGGCACTTTAATACCCGTCGAAAGGCCTTCTATGAAAGCTTGGCGAGAACTTGTTATATTTTTATCTTGCCACATTTTTTTGACTATATAACCTTCGTTTATCCACGTCTCATCAAGATAAAAAATTTTCTTTTGCTCTCTGCGGTACTGCTTTATAGTTGTCAAATATTTTCGTCTCCAGCAAACAATTTCATCACTTTCCAGTAATAGTGCCTTTCGATTGTGCTTTTCCCAGGCAAAATTCATACTTTTTAAAGTTTTCCATAAAAGTTTTCTGGATATCAAAGGAATATCGTTATCTTGGCTTATCTCGATAAATATTTTTTCAAGAGTGGGTATTTCCTTTTTAAAATACAACGAATGAACTTTTCTTCGAATGTCACATTTGGTGTCTTCATCTAAGATTTTTATTGGTCTTCCTGATTTTCTCTTGCATGGACTTACCTGGCCTGATATCTTTCTTTCTCGCAATAATTTAAAAATCGTGGACTGTCCAATTCCAGTCATTCGGGCACATCGCTCAACACTTTCTTGCACAGACAAACTAGGGTGATCGTGTTTTATGCAATCATATACATTTAAAATTATAACTTTTTCGCAAACAGATAGCGGAGAATTTTTTACACTTCTTTTCTTTGGAGTAAATGTCCCCATTTTATAACTTTTTCACTATTTCTATATCACAATATCACTGTACGTTTAATTGGTGTAGTAACAATTACTATTATAACTCGAATGTTTAAGACACCATTACAATATATTTAAACCCTTTTTCTTAATTACCTGGGTTTAATAGGTATTGCATGATTGGTGGGCAGGGTCAAAAAGGGATTATTATAATGACATGGCACCTCGGAACTAAGTGTTAACCCTTTTTTGAGAAATCATGCTCAAGTATATGAACCCAAATTGCATATTAAATAAGTTTACAAGAACCACTAAAATTAATCTTAATCTTTTTTTAAGAAATTTTACTTACCTAAATACATGTAGGTACTTAGTTTTAGACCAAATTACTTCCCAAAAATGGCCTTTTATTATTATCTATGTCTGTAATTTTCAATTTACTTTAATTATTAAGTTTAATAATCCTAAGATTTGCCTACGCCCATGGACGACAACGAAATTCAGGCAAATTTTATGACACTTCATGATTTATTACTCTACACTCTTTTGAAATAGACTATAGTTTTAATCTTCCTCTTTGAAGATGATCACTTGGTGATCGAAACACGTGTCGAGATGTTAAAAATTACGATTTGGTGTTGGGAAAAAACTCCAGTAATATTCATTATACACCAAAGGTTCCAAACAGTGTATCATAAGTAAATATCGATCAGTTCTATCACATTTTATAAACGTTTTTTTGCTAATATGTATTGTTCAATACCGATCAATACCGTACATGTGCACCAAAAAAATTTGAGCACAACCGAAATGAGCAAGCAAGCAAAACAAATATATGATAATTACCATATGTAGATCACTGACGTATGTCGGATATCTTGAACTAGCCACCCTCGAAAGTATTATTGTTGCGTGAACCAAATATGTACTGTAGGATAATCTTCCTAGAATATAAGATGGCGGCCATTCCATTACGCTCTTCGTAACCCCTGCAATTTAAAAATCGATTCAGTATTTCAGACAGATCTGCTAGAGTCGTAATACGGAATTCAGTTTCTAATAAGTTAACTACGCTGTTGGAATGGCGAGAAATTCCCCGGCGGCATTTTCAAATATAGAGAAGGAAAACATAGGTAGGGGAAGTAGGGACTACTTTCCACATACTACATCCAGTCGTTAATCAAAAATCTATACATATAATATATATACTCGTTAGGACAACAAGAGGATTGTTCCGAAATCTTGGAGTTCTTGTTGAATACTCTTTGTGAACAGAAAAATAGCAGAATCGATACTCCTCACCGCTCTGGATTGAATGATTCCGTACAGTCTATCTCGTCTTGTATTTGTAGATCTTTTGCTGGAAAAATCCTCACTTATTTACTTTATAGTAAATGTTAACGAGGTAGCAAAAATGTATATGACTTTCTTGAACTTCAACAAGCGTTACCTAATATGATTGATAATCAGTCCGTGCAAATCCGTGTTTATTCATCAGAAAGTGAAACTTTTAACAGGTTATGATCAACTGTATTGCCAAACATGCGCCAAATTAACTGACAGCAAGCTAAGGCATCAGTCAATCTAATAATTAAACTGATGATCTTCAAACATTACTCAATTTCTGACGGAAGCACCAAACTCTTAGGGTTTGTACAAATGAGGGCGTTGAGCGCGCGTTAGCAAATGTGAATCCGGTACACATGACAGCGCTAGACGCAGCGTTAGTTGAACCAGTCTACTACCAGTGCCACTATGGAGTTAGAGGAGGTAACATGTCTTTGGTTGTTATACCGTAGATACAGGGCAAGGCGAAGAAGACAAAGAAGATGGTGGGTGCATCCTGTAATAGATGATAGATAAACCATGGGTTCATTTGTGACGCTATACCCAAAATTGAAGGAACACCCCAACAAGTTTTTTAATTACTTCCGTATGAATGTAACTTCATTTGATTAACTGTTATCTTTAGTCGAAGATGACTTATTACCTTGTGGATATTTAGTGAGGGATGCACCACCAGAAGAAAAACTCGCAACTCGCTGTAACTTTGAGGTAATTTATCCATTACAATAATTCATAATGTGTCAAAAAAAAAATAATCAGTTGTTGATATCTGAAAAATCTGAGTCAGCTTGCGAAATGCTACTGACTGTTGGCGAAAGGGCTGCTCCTGTTAGCACAGATTGGCAATAAGGTGTGTTCACTGCTGCTGCAGCTGCTGATTGGCTGCTGTAACCGATGTGCTCGGAGGAACTGTCTTGTATTAGAGGACGTTGGTTTCTTTGCAGATTGGACCCGTAATCAAATTGATTAAAGGTCTGGGGTGGTGCACGGCCACTGCGTGGGCTTGGTATGAGTAATAACTCTGTGGTGCTAGATGATAATTGCTTGAAGGGTTGTAGAATTCTTGGGCCTTCTGAAGTACTTCAAATAACTGTATTTTTGTACGGAGCCGTCCAGGTACTTTTTGCAGCTCCGTATACAAAGGCAAGCAAAATAGTTTGTCATGATCTTTGTTTGAAACTTCTGTAGGTCTTTGTTTCCTAAGAGCAACACTCTTATTTGAAATATCTATGAATTGCTTGTCGACAGTGTTCATCTTGAAGTTTCTGTTACTATTAACGTTCCTATCAACAGCACTCGTTTTGAGTTCATCTGAAAGTAAGTGTTATTCCTACGATTCCGTTTCTTCGTCTAATTGATTGCTGTTTTTCAGGTTATCAGTGACAGTTTCGTTTGTTGCAGTAGGTTGCAGAAACTGAAGACGTTGAAAGAATATGTATGGATTTGACTCACTTAGAACCAGATTTCAACGTTTTTTGTTTCTTTAATCCTCTTGCATAGTTATGTCGAACATGTTTCCATTTTTTCTACAACGTATTTCCTAAAACAAAAAAAAATGTTAACACACATATCATAGGCTATTTTTATCATTCAGGTGTGTGACTACAGGAATCTGCACTTTCTATCTACACAAATACTTTTCCAGGTATTTGGCAACAGGAACATCCTTTGCTGACTTCCATTACACCTACAAGTTGTGAAAATCAACAATCTCAAATATAATGCGACAATTATTCTCAGCTCTGTGGAGAGTTATCAAACCTATATGTATGCCTCCTATCTCAGAAGAAAGATGGAAAGAAATCAGCAATGAATTCCTCAAATATGCAAACTTCCCTAACTGCTTGGGAGCAGTGGACGGAAAGCACATCAGGATTGTGCAACCTTCTGGTACTGGATCTCTTCACCACAACTACAAACATTTTTTTCAATTATTCTTCTAGGTGTGTGTGATGCAAACTATTGTTTCCTATATGTAAACGTAGGGTCTTATGACAAAAGTAATGACTCCACAATTTTTGAAGAATCGTTGTTTTACAAACACGTATCTGAAGAAACATTTAACGTCCCAGCACCCAAACCAATAACAGCCTTAGATAACACTAGTTTACCTTACGTATTCCTTGGTGACGATGCTTTTGGCCTGTCTAAAAACATCATGTGTCCTTACGTAGGAAAGCAGCTCCCCCATGTGAAAAAATCTTCAACTATAGACTTTCAAGGGCTCGCCGCTACATAGAATGCACGTTTGGAATCATGGCAAACAAGTGGCGAGTATTTCACAGAGCCCTGAATGTTAACATAGATTTTGCTGAGTCAATTATATTGGCGTGCTGCCTTCTACACAATCACGTCACACGTAAAGATGGCTCCAGGGAAGAAGAGGCTTATTATCAAGCATCATTTGAAAGTGTGGATGGCACAGAGCAAGTTCCTCACCCAAAACTGTCCTCTGTTCCTTTGTACTGTTTTCTTCTGCAAATATAACCACAATCTCCTGCCAAGATGACTTTTTCAATACTCTATTTTTATAATCTGGACACTCCATGTCCCAGATGCATCTTATTTTTTCGACTTCACCAATCAACAATTCTGTGTCAAACCTCCCATGCCCCCTCCCGGGTTGAGTGCCCTGAAGTAGAAGCTTCCCCCCCCTCAGCTATTTAGCGAGGAGAACCTACTACCCCACTCCATCCACCCCCGCACTCCGAGCAGTCCTCAACTTAATGATGGGCACTGACCTCTTTTGGTCGAAAGTCAGCCTTTAGGTGCTATTCTTTCGCGATCGGTAAAAAGTGTTTTGTCTGACTATTCCTAACTAAATTTTTGCATGGGGGCCCCCAAAAACTAACCGGCGGCTATTGCTATTAACGTCGGGCGTTCCTCAGTGAATCTAAGGATAATTGGATCGCGGTCGAGTTGTTCTGCGGTGAACTTGCTGAAAGAAAATTTGATTAGTATGCTTACCGGAGCCGCCTGACGGCGACTCGTGGGGGCGGTCTTTGGTTCTGCCTCGTCGGCCTTGGATGTTTGTCCCTTTCTCGGAACCTGCTCAATGCATCGTGTAGATCGCGTAGCGCTGGGTTGTTGTGCGATCTGATTCTATCAAACACGCTTTCTGAGTGTTCTCTCATATACACGTTCACATATTGCGTGTCCAGGTCTAAGTCTCTGTATATGTTTCTATATGGGATATAGTACGGCGCGTTTAGGGCGGCCCTTACGCTCGCGTTCATAAACGACTGTATCTACTTCCTGTATGTCTGTGCGCACTGGACCCAGGCAGTGCAGGCATACAGTATTATGGGCATGAGGACGGTTTTGATTATTAGCAACTCCACTTTCAACCCCATGTTGCCTCTGCGTCCTATGATAGGTGCCAGTCGTTGTCTGGCGTGTCTAGTCATTCCAATTCTCTGCCGTACATCAGACTGAAATGTTAATCTCCGCCTCCATTATATACAACACACAGCTCACAACACAACAAAGATGACACCACGTGAACTGAGCAAAAGTGCGCGCTCGACCCTCACATGTGTACGCTCCAATGCCCAGTCTAGTAACTCAAAGCGCGCTGCAAACGCAACGGTCGAAGTGAAAACTACAAGCGTCGCGTTTTGGGGACGTTGGTGCAAAACGCGCGTTTGCATGTGAACGATCCCATTTGTTCCTACGTACTTGGCTAACACGCGTTTGACGCGGCGTCTAACGTCCTCATGTGTACAAAGTCTTACGAAAGTTCGAAATAGACGAACACTTCAATCTAGCAGACCACTATTATAATATTCATGCAGTCATTATTCACTGTGGTACTGGCGTTGAATCTGGTTATTATTACGCATTTGTTAAAAACGAAACGAACTGGTTAATTCTAGTCTTTGAAAACAACTACTCTTCTGGCGTTGGATTATATCCGACAGGTGTCAGTGCAGGATTCTTCACTGAAGCTATTTCTGCATATGCTGTTGGCGATACCACAGCCCCAATCGCTTTCCAATTATTGGAACACACTTGCAGACCAGTTTCGAGCCATTTGGCCACTCGACAGTGCAAGATAGTGTCTATCATCAACATGAAGCCGATGATTTCCGATAATTGAAAATCGAATTCATTCAGAATGTCATTCCTCGAACGGCAAACAACAAGTTTGTCATCACCCCATAACATAGGTATCAAATGAAAAGGTTTGTGTTTTCTGCAAAACGTTTCCCTTTGTGCCCATGTTATGGAAGTGTGTAAAATAATCAGTCCATCATATTGAGCGTTTCTCCACTGAAAGCAATACTCACATCCAAGTCCGAAAATGGCTCCATATATTGCGAATCCAATGGCAAATGAAAAAATTGGCCTTCCAAATGCAACGTGCAAAGAGGCCCAGAATATACTGTGATCCATTTCACTGTTGAAAATGAGAATACCTGGTACTATTATGACTCCCAATGCTAATCCATATGTGAGAATATGATAGATGATCTGATTAGCTATCTGAAAAAAAACATTTTATTTATTTTCGGGCATGGCAGAGAAATGAGTACTATTCACCCTGTATATGAAACGAGAGAAAGGAGTTTTAATACTGCTGAGCAGAAATATGAATGAATATTGCTTCGTGAGTAATGGAAATCAACTGTTGCAACGAACAATATGCAAAAACTGTCGCAAATTTCAATTCAACTGTAGCAACGTATTAGAAATCATGCGTTAAAAGGTAAGACAAGTTTCTACTTCTGAGGGTTGTCGTTCGTAGGGGTGTGACAGCTGGTTAATGGAAAAAACAGATTTTTTTAAACGGAGTTCTCCAAAACATTATCATGCATAATACATGTGATCTACCAGACAAAACTGCCAGATTCACTCGGAACTGAATGATCAAAAACGAAAACGAAGCAAAATGATTCAAAATGATTCAATACAAATCCCTCTCAAACGCCATTGGCAAGATTAAAAAACTGTATTTCTTAATAAAAATACCTTTTGATGAAAATAAGCGGATAAATAGCTAGGAATATGCCGAAGTTAAAATGAAAAAACTTTGTAGTACAAAAGTTGAGACATTTAGGACAATTGTTCAGTTTTTCTTTTCAAAATGGGTCCAAAAATTAGTTCATTTCGAATATTACAAATGGAAATACTCACATTTATCTCGAAGACTGATTTGTTCTTGTTCTTGTAGAATGAGTATCCGTACGCCAATCCAATTATACATCCTACCAAATTTCCCTTCCAACTCATCATTTGATCATACCACTGGGTATTTCCCAAAACCAACTTCATTCCGTAGAGTTTTCTAAAATGAAAAATCCTCATTATCACACGATATTCTTTCCCGTCCTGATGAATGTTTTATATTCATTTCAAACAACCGTATTTGAGTTGAAAGCAAAACGAATCCACGTTAGAAGACGCCTGAAGAAGCTATTCTATTCCGAAACATGTCTCGCGATTTTGTAATCTGTTTAGTGAAAATCTCACAATGAAGTGTTAATACGTTTTAGTTTTTCATCAAGTATCGTCCAATTCCATACAAAATATGTTCTCTAAAGTCAAACTTGATCATTGAACGGTAAGTTCGCTTTAAAATACAAGTAAATGGTTTCTAACGAATGACAAGAATGAAAACAAGGGCTCTTAAAGTGTGTATCCCGATTTGTATTGTGCGAAAAAAAAATTATCGAAAGATCTTCACTTGATAACAAAATGAAAGTGCTTAGAAAATCAAATAATTTTATGTCACACTAACTTGTAGAAGGCTATTCGAAGTAGTGGGTTAGAACTATGGATTAATGGTTCTAATTTTAATATATGGTCAAGACATATATTCGTATCTGTATAAGCCGGTAAATATTGGTAATGAAATCATATAGGTTGTTTCAAAAGTTTTGTCTGTTTTCATATGTCTACTGTAATATCTAAGTGAATACTCATTCAATTCATTTAAAATAAACACTATTTGAATCAAAGCACTTTTGACCCTGTAGGTTAGGTTAGGTTAGGCCCAAAGTGAGTGGGTATATTCGACCCTCCACCGCAACCCACAAGGGTTTATTGTGGCTTACACCTATTCACACTCGACCAAATAAACCCAGCTTCTCAACGAAGTCGATTAGTTTGTATGGTGAGTGGTCTTTCAGGTAAGATGGTAAGGGTACGGCTCTGCCGGACTCTACAAACCTGATTCGGTCCTCAGCGGGGCAAGCACAAGATATATGCTCTGCTGTTTCATCGTTAATGAGGTAGTCGGATAGTCAAGGTGTAAGATTCCCACCTTTATACCACCTTGTTACCCGCGACAACCTTTCCATTTAAGGGTTTTTGCACGTCAGCTGGTCCTGCAGAGATTTTTTGCCTTTGGTTTTGGTTAATCATCACTTGAGCGCAAACGTCTGCTAACCTGATCATGGAGGGTTTGTTCCTCCACCTGAGACAGATTCTGCGAATGCCGCTCAAGAATTTCATGCAAGGCGGTTTCATAAGGTACCCCGCTCTTGAGGAGACGACTCAATCGTTTTCTGGCTGCACCACCAAACCTTTATTTTAGGTTCAATTATTAGATCAGGAGTTGGAGAGTTGAGAAGCTCTCGTTCCTGATCTGAATTTATAGGGTTAGTTGGAATCGTAAGCTCGACATCCATCTCCTCTGTAAACTCAGCGTCAGAAGGACTTTTCAAGTTCACTCTGTCCAGAAAAGTTCCACGAGTAGCTAGAGAAATAAGGTCAATCTCGGCAGAGCCCCGCTTTACCGTGACAAGACGATGCTACGACGAGAGGGCGCCCGTTATTTCGAAGGTTCCGAAGGTTCCGAAAGGTGCCCAAGAAAATATTTACTAAAATTTGGAAAAACTATATTTCGTCGGTTTAAGAGCGTGGTCGTAGTATTCACATTATTGGTATCCCATTATAGTTTCAAAAACCTCATAGAGTTGACTATTCGGTTTATGTTAACATATTTGTTAACCAATGATATTATAATTTCAACTTTCACGTCGTGCTTGTAACATTTATACATCTCCTTTAGAATTTCACGTCTGTTAATAATTTCATATAACGTATGTCTGAGCCTCTGATACTCAATCTGTAGTTGTCTTTGAAGTTCCCAGCATTTTTTATTTCTTTTTTTTTTTCGTGTAATTAAGTTGAAAATGTCTGCGACGCTCGGTATTTTGGGTTGAAACAGTGTGTAAAATTAAAAGAGTCACCTCAACTTACTCTGGAAGTGGTAAGATTAGAGCTTCATGGCCTTCATTATAGTTATCCAAAAATGTAGCAGCTATCAGTATTGTGAAGAATGAACAAAGAATCGGCCAAACCAACTTTTCGTATTTTTTCAGAATCCACACAAGAACTAATAGGAATACGAAATATTGAGTATCTAAAGCCAGATACCAAGTTTGAACCAAACACTGAAATGAATAAAAATCAAAATAAGTATCATATTCAATGATGTTTTTGATGAAAATGATAAATTGATTGATGTAGCCACTATGTGAAAGAAAATGATAATGAAGAAAAGAGAATTGAAACTCTCTATGTTTTTACAACTTTTATTTGTAACTACCGTTACTGCAGTTTCGTCCTATCTATAAGGACACTTTCAAACTTATACATTAAAGTACAAGTTTAAAAATGTCTTTATAAGACGAAACTGCAGTAACGGTAGTTACAAATAAAAGTGGTTAAAAATATAGAAAGTTTCAATTCTCTTTTCTTCATGATGAAAATAATGTTTCCTGGTGACAGAATTCTTAGTTCTGAGCAAAATGCATAGAGTCCCTGGTGTGATCAGTTGACACAGGGCTCCATATTAGGTCCCCTCCTCTTTATTACATAGATGAATGATATTTTCCACGCTATATCCCCAGGTTTCTGTATGCGTATGCTGATGACACTTTTTCCATTCAATTCCACAACAACGTATCTGTATTGAACGAAATCTCCACTAATTTTGACCATAAAGCGGAACTCTGGTTCAGAGCAAGCAATCTAAACCTCAACAAGAGCAAATCTCAAAAAATGATCTGCTCCTCAAACTAAAAGTTATGTGGATCTGAATCTGTCAAGCCGCTCGGTCTGACCCTTGATGATGACTTGAGTTGGCAAACTCATATTGATGTATTATCAAAAAAACTATCCACTCAGCTTTTTCTGTTGAGACGTCTCAAAAATTCTTCAAATTCTTCTACCTATTTTCATATCACGCTTTTTTCCACTCTCATTTGAATTACGGAATTATTCTATAGGGAAACGCACCTCACTTTGTTAGAGTTTTCTTCAAAAACGTGCTATACGTTTGATGGCTGATACCCCGTATATTGCCTCATGCCGAGAACTCTTCAAGAAGTTCAGGATTCTATGTCTTCCTTCTACCTATATCTATCAAAGTCTCCTCGAAATACAGACAAGAAAAATTGAAAGTGACAGAAATAACGATTTCCACAATTATTCAACCAGGGGAGCAGACCATATGAGACCTCCTAGATATAAGATTGCAATCTCACAACTCAATTTCCTGAACTTGCATGTGTACAATAAGCTACCACGTGAATGGAGAAAATCTCGATCTCATCCCTTTTAAAAGGACAATTCTTAGTGAATTTCAATTTTTATCCGGTAGAAGAGTACTCAGGGTATGCAATTTCTGATTGATATGTATGTAGTTCCTTACCAAAAATAAATTGATTTATCTTTACTCTCCGAGGAGCGTTCGATATTCTTCCAGATTCACCTCATGCAGTTTCTACTAGACATTCCATATAATACATTGTTACCATTTTTTGGCTTTCATCTTTATACATATATATTCCTTAACATCTACTTAGCAGACTCTGATCTATCATTTTGTATTTTACTTAAAACTATACTATATACCATTGGACTTGTCATAAATGTATTCTGTACATAACATGATGAAATGAATGAATAAATAAAAACCTTTTCACTTCGGCACTTTAGATGAAGAAGTTATGAATTTCTGCATTCCATTCACTGAGGCATTGAGTGCACACTGCCTAACAGTGTCAAGTTGACATTTCAATGTTAACACGATTGTTTGTAATTTCTTAAACTTTTTGATTTCGCGAATGTATTCATTCTCAAATTATTCCAACTATGTTCTCAAAATTGGAAATTCAATTGCATTACAGTTTTTTTTCAAAACCATCTCAGATTACTCACATTGATTTAACCCTTTACCGCATCATGTGCCAAATATGGTACAAAGCGAAAATTATTTGATTTATAATACTTGAGAACGAATTCTGTCGTCATTTCATACATGACCATATCTGGCACGAACCAATCTATCTCATACACATCACGGCCGGACTACTTTATCAACGAGTGCATTGGAAAGAGTCTTCAAGTTTATTCTTGTTAGAAATTTCATTTGTCACGCTTGAGGTGATCTTTGCTGTCCATTTACTCTTGTTTGAAAGTATTTTTCTACCGAGAAAAAATTATAGAGTGTTCAACAGTGATATTGAAAACATCTCTAGGTAAGTTCAGTAGTGAAAAGTTTCTCAGAACTAATGAACAATTCTGGAAACAAGTATGTACCTTATATGGCACATCATGGAATGTTGGATCATCCTGACAATATGATCATGTTTTCATGGATCCCAAAGTATGTTATGGCAAGATGACTGCCGTAAAAATTCCTTGAATCGATAGTGAAGATTCCGATTTATCTGATGAGGATGATGAACCCCTTTCAGGTGTTAAATTACCTGTGGATAGTTATTTTGGAGAAACTCCCTTAGACGATGATGTTGCCAGTATCATGAATCGAGAATTTGATGACTTTGATTCTTCAAATGATAATATACCCTTATCAACAATACAAAAACGACTTGAAAAAAAGAAAAAGAGAAAAGAAGTATCCAATTGGGTAGAAGGAAATCTCGAAAAATTTGTACAGTGCCGTCCAAATAAACCTGCTAATATAAAAGAGTTCGAAATAGAGCAATTTATCGGTATTACCATGTACATGTCCCTTATTCAGCTGCCGGCCACAAGGCATTACTGGCATTACTGGCATTACTGGCAATGATGACATGACTGGAAACAGTCAAACTGGATACGATAAATTGTTCAAGATTAGGCCATTTCTTATCCAAATAAGAGAAAGATTACTGCAAGTTACGAAAGAAGAGTATCTTGTTGTAGATGAACAGATTATTCCAACAAAAGCTCGAACACAACTCAAACAATATAATCCGAAGAAACCACATAAATGGGGTTTCAAAAATGTTGTCCTCAGCGGTATATCTGGCTTTAGTTATGATTTCGATCTGTTTGCAGGAGCACAAAGCAATACTGTACCTCTAGGAGCTCCAACTCTTAGTGTTAGTAGTAATGTTATTGTGAAGCTATCTGAATCTATACCAAGACATCAGAATTTCAAATTGTTTTTTGACAATTGGTTCTCCAGTGTTCCACTCTTGACTTATTTGACTACTGAAGGTATACTACCTTTAGGGACGGTGAGTCCCAGGAGTTGCAATGCCTTCCGAGAAGGAAATGGAAAAAAAAGGAAGAGGTCATTTAGTTGAAAAAATAGCTACTATAGATGGTGAGGTCATTAGTGCTGTGTTTGATAGCAAAGTAGTCACCACTTTGTCAACGTATGCAGGAAGTGAACTAGAAGGAGAAAAGCGGAGAAAAATACTACTTGCGCATTTTTTTTCATTTCATCAAATTGGTTGCCGTGAATAGCTGGCTACTTTCTAGAAGAGGAAAAAAGTTTGATATGCCGCTTCTGGATACCAAACTGGCAATTGCAGACGCGCTTTGTTTAGCAGGAAAACCAAGCAGGGTTAACAGAGTAGGAAGGCCTCCGAGCGTGAACCTCCAGCAAATGTATGAATATAAAAGAACAAAAGGGCCAACAAAAGAAATTTCTCAAGAAGATATCAGAACATATAGTATAGATCATTTCCCATACTGGCAAGAAACATGTAGATCAAGATGTAAATACCCTGGTTGCTCAGGAAAAACTTTTGTGATGTGCACCAAATTCCATTATGCCTCAATAAGGATCGAAATTGTTATTTACGCTTTCATACTGAATAATTTTTTATGAATAAACTATACCTCTTAGTCTCAAATTAATAATGTATTGCCAAGTCAATATCACCTGATGTTCCATATATGGCACAAACCAGATTTTTTCAAAAATCATGAAAATCAACAGGGATTGATTTTTTTAAATATTTTTTCATCAAATAGGGTTGAATTTCTCATCACATACAATTTTTTCGCTATGAAATGAAAATTCATGCGGTAAAGGGTTAACGTTAGGTTTTTATAAATTATATTTTAAGTTCAGCGCATATCGACTAACTCAATGTGATTTTATTAATTTACTCTGTATTAGTTTTCTCAGTAATTAATTTGGGGAGAATCGTATTGCCACCACTACAGCGAAACATAAATGTCACACCTATTGGTGTGACACCCAAGTCAACTTGCCAAGTTTTTATGTCAGTGTTGGTGGTTTGACCACCAACACCTCAGTAGGAATGTTTTCGCAGATAAAACCTCAAATGATAGGACTAATGTAACAATCATCAATTCATCGACCTGCTTCTACTACTGAACGTAGTAGTATGTGATATTTACTAACCTAAAACTAATTATCTGATAGAAGGGTAGGTAATAAATGTGTTTAGTGTATGTGAACTTATGTTTTGCAAACTTATAGTGAAAATCAGTAATTTTTCAAATGAATTTCCATGATATTTTTTTCAAGAATTCCTTGTATATTTATATCGTCTACATCTTTTCTATGAGGCAGTGAATACAGCTTAAAATCAGAAGCAATCGTTGATCTGAATTCTCTTACCATATTTTCCCTCTCTATGAAATTATTCAAGTAAAACAAGTTTATCCACCAATTATTCCTACATCGGAGAAATTCTTTTCCTATTAAATCGTTCCAATGTGGTCCACTTCCAAAATGACGCCACCATGTTGCGTAGAAAGCTATGACTACAACTACACTTGGTGTCAATCTGGAATCAAAATATTTCAATTTCACTCGAATTATCACCAGAAAATTTGAAATGTTTTCTGAAACCGTGTTTCGATTCTTAAATATTTTTTCATCAACTACGTCAATCTTACCGTACCTTACTCATATTCATTACGAAATATAGAGTGCCCTCAAGAAATAACCAATGAAACGTATCGAATTTTCATTCACAGAATATACAGGGTGGCCGGGAAGTACAGTATCTCACCTATAATCTGTTCAAATCTGTTTTTCCGTTAACTAGCTGTCGCATTCCTACGAACGACAACCCCCAGAAGTCGAAACTTGTGCGAGCTTAACAGTTTATCATACTTCTCATTATAGGCGAGATAATGTACTTTTTCACACTAATGGGCCACCCTGTATTTTGAATATAAATTATCAAAGTTATTGTGTTTTGATTCAGTTCTTATAACTTCAAGATTTTGAAGATGTATTAAATATGTATTTTGAAGTTAAAATTTGCTGATATTCACGATGGTACAGAGATGTCGGTCAGAAGAATGCAATTTTGACTCGTTTTAACCAAAATTTTAAGTACAATCAAGAAATCTTACCTTATATATCTGTTGATGAAGATTCCTAGCAAATCTTTCAGTTTAACTTTCCTGTTTTCGAATTGTGAAAATATCCCATAGATCAGGAGAAAAGAAGACATAAAGAAAAATGTAGACACACACAGAGGTCCACTGGATAGAAAAAGAGTAGCAACTTTCCCCATGAGCTGTGAAAATAATCGCATCATTGTGATTTCACAAAGAATATCATGAAACGAGAATATCAACATATCACTATCAGCAGGAACGAGAGTGGAAGATGGTAATGGTAATTTGAGATGGTGACTTTGACGGGTGGGGTATCTATTCCCTGTAATGGAATTTTGTATGTGTTTATTTATGAGACACACTGTTTCAAGTATAAATATAGACACTACCGTGAGTATGTTAAAAATAAAATAAAATAAAATAAAATATTTATTAATCCTTTCAACTATTGTTAACAATAGATAGGATAAGTCAAAAACAGTGTCATTAAGTTTTAATTGACAAACAGGACGAAACAAGCACAATGATGACTAACATAGACTATGTAAAATACACTTCGATATCATCTCAAAATTGAAAAGTATAATTCAAATTCCTCAACAGTATAGAAACATTCTCTGATAAGGAGTTCCCTAAGTCTACACTTAAAAACCGCCAGGGATCCCGTATTTTATTTCTTCCGGAAGACAGTTAAAAAAACGGCAGCCTGCATTGATGGGAGATTTTTTGTAATAGGAGTGTTTGGGCTTGTTCAATTTGATATCATTTTTATTTCTGGTGTTGTAAGAATGTGAATCACTATTAATGGGAAATGAATGTTTGTTATTGAAAATATATGATAATAGTTTCATTAAATAAATTGATGTAACCGTGAGGATCCGTTTAGTTTTGAAAACCTATCTGCATGATTGGCGACTACTAATGTTAAAGATAAGCCTTTTAATTCTTTTCTGAGCAACAAAAATTCTTGTTATGTCTGATGTCTGACCCCATACTATAATATTGTAGGAAATTGTGGAATACACAAATGCATAGTAAACCTGTAATAATGAATCTGTGTTCCAAATATTTCTTAGTGTTGCCAAAATATAAAAGCTTCTGTTGATTTTTTTACATACTATATGTATTTGATCTTCCCATGTTAGGTTACAATCTATGAGCGTTCCTAAGAATTTAGATGAAGAGGAGGTTTCAACAATATTATTATTGACTTCGAAGGTGAAATTAGAAGGTATTCCATGTTTTGTGTGAAACTCAATTATTACTGTCTTACTTTGATTCATTATTAGTGTATTCTGCATACAGTAATCCGCAAAATCTTTCAAAACTGAGTCAGTTTTTTGCTGTAGTCTTTGGCGATCAGTGTCAGACACCACAATAGAGGTGTCATCAGCATACATGAAAACTCTACCGTCCTTTATGTTATGAGGCAAGTCATTGACATAGGTAAGGAAGATCAAGGGACCCATGACACTTCCCTGCAGTGTTCCAAGATCTAAATCGTATTCCTTCGATTTCGTTTCACCGATTCTCACGATGATCTTCCGATCTTCAAGAAAGGACGTTATCCAGTCGTTCACTGGACCACGTAGACCTAGGTTGTTGATTTTTTCGGAGACGAAATTGTATTACTTGAAGTAAAATCTGCACGAATGGCGAAATTTTTGTTTACAGAGGTATCTCATGGCTCTTTTTTGTGAAACAAAAACACTTTGAAGAACATTATCACTGCACACTCTCCAGAATGGTATTCTGTATCGCAAATGTGACTCTATCAAGGAGTAGTATACTGTCTTTGCGATTGGGTATCCTAGTTCGATTGCAGCAATTTTAACAGCATAACAACCAGAGGACAATTTTTTTGACATGTTCATTGATTTTGAGACAGTAGTCGATGTATAGTCCTAGAAATTTAAAAAAGAAAAAACAATTTTCAATAATCTGGTGGTTCAAAGAAATATCAGCAACTGCACATTTGAAGGACACTAGCTTAGTTTTCAATATGTCGAAGGATAAAAGGTTCGAGTCGCACCACTCTTTGACCTTTATTATATCTGAATTAATGATATGATGAAGATCAGCTTGCTTTTATTGTTATGCCATAGTATGGTGGTATCATCGGTGACCAGGGTGACATTTCCTGTAATTTCAAGCGTCGTGAGGTCATTAACATAAAGGAAAAAACAAAATTGGACCCAAGACTGATCCTTGCGGAACACTACATTGCATATTACCCAAACTTGAGATTGATTTTGTCTTAACTACTTATGTGCGGCCAGATAAATATGTCGTGAACCAAGAATGTGCTTTATTTCAAAATCTCAAATAATAGTGGTTTTAAAACAGTATTCAATGATCCTCCATAATCGAATATTTTCAGATAATTTATTTGGCAAGTAAATTTACTTTTTATATCGTTGTTACTAACTATTTACGTAGTTGCATCAGCGGTGTGATTGGGCTAGAATCATGCATATATGGATCTCCTGAACGGTAAGGAATAGAGAGTATGTTAGTAGTAGTAGTATTTCTTTATTTCTCCAGGTTCATGCAAATAAGCATAAGCATGCGTCAGATGCATCATAGAAATACGCATTACAAAGGTTCTCATGATAAAATGACAATAAAAGAGAAGAAAAAGCGAATTGTTTACACAAACAGATTGAACTGGATATAATAAAAATATACTGTGGATGAATTGGAATGGAGATCATCGGATTTTCGCGAAGATTATATCCTGTAGCTCGACTCTTTTCTGCTTGTGAAGTTTTCATCGTGTGACTTCACATAAGATACATAGTTAAGTATATAAAATGAAATGATTGATAGAATTTTGAGATTTGAGAATAAATCCCTACAATAGTCTCTTGGACCCTGTTGAATCGTGGCAAATGTATCTAGTTTCGAGTACCATTGGGATCAGTAGCACTCGAGCAGTCGAAGTCGTAACATGCTAAGATGGACGAGATTATTGATCTGTACTCAATGCCAGTACTGAAAAAATAGAAATGGTACTAGCAATGATTTCCAAATTGCTAGACCTTCACGATGTTTCTCTCAAGGAACTCGTTTCCACGTATATTATGATGCGGAAAAAGAGACAGGAAATAGAACAGAGAAGAGCCTGCCCTGATATGGATGATCAAATGGACGACAACTCAGGCTACTCAACTGAAGAGAGCCTTGAATAAGAGGCGATTTCAAATAAAAAACGGCCTGTGGAGATAGAGTCTCCCAAAAAACCCAAAACAAATTATAAGACCAAATCACAAAGTGATGTACCAAAAACCGAGAAGACAGAAATACCGTCGAGAAAACCCAAAAAACTCAGGACAAATACCCTGAAAACGTAGATATCCAAGAAGTCAATGAGGCCCCAAAACCAGAGGAAAACCATAATCCAGAAGGTATGGAAACTGAGGCACATGACAAGGAGGCCGCGATGCCAAATACAACTCAAGCAACAGGCCCGAAAACAAAAAAACCACCACCGATCACTATCAGGCAGAAAGATAAGTGGTCGAAATTTAACGATATAGCTGCTAAAGAGAAAATACACTTGACGAAAGCAGTAAACACCAATGATGGCGTTAAAGTCCAGCCTGCCAGTCCGGACGACTTTCGTAAAATAGTCAGGATACTTGACAGAGAAAAAATCCCGCACCACACTTATACCATGCAGGAAGCAAAACCATTAAGAAAAGTGTTTCGAGGCGTCCCCGAATACCTCGAGATCGTATTAATAAAAGATGACCTAAACGCCAAGGGCTTCGACATCATTTCGATAGCCAGGCTAAAAAAGCAGAACAAAAATCCACTCCCACTCGTACTGGTTCTAGTTTTCACAAAGCAGAGCCACATTTACGAAGTTAGGGAAATATTGAACGTTCAAGTGAAAAGTTAACCACAACGACCCCGAACAGCAGTGGGACAGTGCTACCGCTGTCAAATGTTCGGTCATTCGCAAATAAATTGCAAGGCAATACCTGCGTGCCTTAGATGTGCCAGCCGCCACATGACGGCTGAGTGGAAGAAGTCAAAGCAAGCCCCGGCAAAATGCTTTAATTGTAAAGGGGAACACTCAACCAATTTCCAAGGATGCCCGGAACATCCGAAAAACAAAAAGGGCAACAACGAACCCAGAGACCTGTCAGTCCAACCGAAAAGGCCGACAGGACCAAGTACAATCAAAAACGGTCTCATATACAACCTGCAACCGTCCTGCATACCCCGTCCTGCAAACTATGCTGACGGTAAACACCCCTCCAACCAAGACAAACTAAAAACGCCTCGAAGGTCTGGGTACGGGATGAGATTACAACAAATCTCGAAGCCAGACATCACCAGAAAATCATCCCATCAAGAGGGATACCCAGACGGCGGGAGAAACCTCAGCCGCGCACCACATTAAAAATACAGATCCAAAAACCATACAGGATAAAAGAGTCAGGGGTTTCGAATCCAATCTCGACCTAAATTAAGATGACAAACAGAGTACCATTGGTGTATAACGAGAACCCGATTTTTTTTTTTTTCGTTCCGGAGATATATGCCATGTCTTCTCTATGAGCAGAACTATTGTAAATCTGTTCAAAATTTGTCCCAGTAACTTCAATTGGACTAGGGATGCTCTACTTTGCAGTTTCAAACACGGCTCATATTTTGTAGCACGGTTATGGTTATATTCGAATAATATCGCATGAATACAGTTTTTCTGATATTCCAGGAAGTTTCGGTGGTTTAATAATAATCGATGATGCAGACTATAATTTTTTTTTCATAGATGTTGGGACAAAAGGGAATGAGGATGATGCGGGAATTTTAGCGGGATACAAACTGGGTAATGCTTCAAAAAAAAAGGGATGCTGAATTTCCCGCCTCCAGAATGCCTCACAAATAATCTCACATCAGTTTCACCGTACGTGATAGTGGGAGATGAAGCATTCCTGCTTCTCCAAAACCTCATTCAACTATACCCAGAACCACAACTGGAGAACGACGTGTCAAAATAAATCTATAATTATGGTCACCTGAAATGCTTTTGGGCAATTGGTAAAAAAAAATATATTTATTAACAAAGGTTGAAAATGTCCCCAGACCACTTGGTCAACGACATTTCGGCCACGATGTGCCTTCATAGCTTCGTGTAGGCTGAAACACAAAGGAATTCAAAGTCAAGTCGAAGCTCGGCTGGGCTCAGTTCAAATACATCCCTACCCAACTTCAATCTCGAAATTTTCTGGCTTTCCAGATAGAGTCGGTTTCAGTAAACATTACCCGAAAATGGGCAAATTTCACCATAATTCAACCCACTCTGTATATTTTACCATTCACGAGACTCCATACATAGACTTGAATTTGTAAAGCCCTGTACAGTTTGTCAAGAATAGAAAAAAGTTTCAAAATCCTTATTTGAGACCGCCTTAGCTGTGCACGCAGAAGACAGGAGTGGAAACGCACATAGCCCAGTCAGTAGAATTAGTCTGTTGTGAAGTGAGCATCACGGGTTAACCGAGTGTACAGTCCGAGCAGAAATAAAGCTCAAAGGGTACAATTTGAGTATTGTAACTTGACCAAGATGGAGTTTAAATCAAACCTAAATTGTAAAGTGCTAACAAATCAAACGAGGAAAATTATAGCGAATGTCATTTTTTTCATGCAACGAGAAGCGGCAGAAAAAAAACCTATAAAGGACTTTAAAAAAGTTCAAGAAAGAGCTGCTATGGTAACTGGCGTGAGTTTAAGCAGTATACGAAAAATTTCAAAGGAAATGAAATCGATTGAGAAGTAATTGTTACGTTCTTAGAATTTTTTGCCGAATTTGCATTTAATTTAAGTATAGAAAATGTACATATTTAAAAGTAGAATAAAAGCAACCTTGTAATTCAAAGCAAGTTTTATTCATCTATTCCAAACATTTTTTCAATCAATGCCATAACCATTATTCATAATTTTCTAAATCAAAAGAATACCAACCCCATAATTAAACAAGTTATCTGTAAAGCCCTCATTTCCTGTCTTGACCAAAATTATTCTGAATTCAATAATGAGATGGAGTGATAGTGGTGACTTTGTACATTGGTTTCACAGTTTATTCAGGAAACTGTACATCTACACTAAGCAGAGACAACTTTAATCGCAAATATGTGCATCTTTGTTCCTCCGAATACTATCTAGCTCTTCGTTACGCAGAGGCCGCAAAAATTTCACCCTTTTTCCTATTCTTGACAAACTGTGCATACAAATACAATCAACTCTAATTTTGTTATCTGGGATTCCCACAGTCTTAGCTACATTAAAAATAATTCGCTAACGTTGTAGAACTCACCGTTTCCGCATATTTGGTGTTAGCAACTGGCCCAATCAAAAAGGTCATAACAGTATGACTCAAAATAACCAGAATGGTATTGTAGAATCTAACACCCTGTATTGGTCGTAGTTTCTCAATATCTGTTGTACTCTTGACGGTGATGAGTCTGTACCAGTTTCTAGGTATGGAAAAGGCAGAAGCTATTCGTCTCCAACCGGCACAAGTCAATTTCTTGTACTCTTCCTCTGTTTTATATCGAGCCGTTCCTTCATAGAATGTGGCGAATGCAATGAGAACTACGTAGCATACGAATATCATGCTGTAAATTGAAAAATCATGTATCTCCTCAATTGAGAAAGGATTCAGTGGTGAAATTATATTGTACCATATCATTTTTCTTTGAAATGTTTTTTTATTATCGGTATTGGAAACGTTTTTGAAACCTGAAATAGTTCCAGTATCATTTGTTCTGTTTGAAACTATATTGAAACATCAAAAATCACAAAAATTACTTGAATAAATCAAATCTAGTTATACATTTGTATCCAAAAAATGAATGTGAATCAAAGAATGTGTAAAAAATTGAATTGTGTGGTCAAAAAACAGTTGGAACGTTGACAGTGGCATACTCTGAGTCAGAAAATACACACATCGGAAAAGTCTAGGGATATTTTTGAAAATGGCAATAATTTTTTTTTAGATCGCTTTAGGGAAAAAAAAAGTTGACGGGTGATTATTAAACGAATGTAACTTACAACAAAATGTATTAAATGGTCAAAAATACTGAGTGCGCATATAAGCAAAACTAAAAAAAA